TATCCCAGATATGATACCTCTGTTTTACAAAGCTGAGGCTTTCTCTTTGGCAGATAGTATCCCAGTACCTGGAGTAACTAGAGTAGGACCTTGGTGTCTTTCAAGCAGCTAGTAGAGCAGGTCATCCACATATAGAAGCAGGGTTGAATTGGGATAGGATGCCTAGAAACCTGTTAAAGACTGTTTTAAAAACTAATCTCAATACATGGGCCAAATGAATCTCTAACGGGTAACACATATCAGATATTTATGATTCATAGCAATAGCAAAATCACAGTTATGAAATAGCAACAAAAATAATTTTATGGTTGGAGGTCACCATAACATTAACTGTATTAAAGGGTTGAAACATTAGGAAAGTTGAGAGGCACTGTGTTAAATCCTTTTAAAGGACTTCCCTAGCTGGTGGTGGCACACACCTTTAGTCCCAGCACTTGGGAGGGTGAGGCAGGCAGGTCTCAGTAAGTTTGAGGCCAGCCTGGTCTATAGAGTGAGTTCCAGGACAGCCAGAGCTGTTACACAAACCCTGTCTCAAAAATCCAATAAATGAGGAAGAGGCAGAGAAAGAGGGTGAGGGAAAGGGAGAGGGAGGGAGAGGGAGAGGGAGAGGGAGAGAGAGAGAGAGAGAGAGAGAGAGAGAGAGAGAGAGAAAGGGAAGAGAATGCTCACTGTAACAACAAGTCAGTATACCTCTAATCCCAGCATGTGTAAGAGGCTGAGGTAAAGAATGGTTTGTTGAAACAAGTTCTCTGTAGCTTGGGCTAGCCTCAGACTCCCAAATACCAGGACTACAGACACATACCACCACACACAGCTCCCTCAAATCAATCCTAATTGTAATGATTTCTTCCCAAAATATTTTATAGTCTGTATTTTTCAGTGCAGACTAGGCACTACCAGGGCTTGTAGGTGCTCTACCAGACTTACATTCAAGTCCCTGTATTTTTTTAAAAAGTAATTCATGTATTTCACAAAATGAAACCTGAGTTTAGAACCCAGGCATCTATGTAACTGCGTATGGGGTTGGTGAGATGGCTCAGAGGTTAAGAGCACTGGCTGCTCTTCCAGAGGTCCTGAGTTCAATCCCAACTGGTGTCTCACAACCATCTGTAATGAGATCTGGTACCCTCTTCTGGCCTGCAGGCATATATACAGGCAGAACACTGTATACATAATAAATAAATCCTTAAAGATAAACACTAAGCATTCATGCACCTCTATTATCACTATCTATAATATTCTTTTTGTTTTTCAAGACAGGGTTTCTCTGTAGTCCTGGCTGTCCCAGAACTCACTTTGTAGACCAGGCTGGCCTTGAACTCAGATATCTATCTGCAATTAAAGGTGTATGACAACACCACTTAGCTATAGTATTCTTTAATAAATATTATGTTTAATTTGGAACTCAATTACTATTTTAGATTTTTTAAAATATTTATTTATTATGCGTATTTGGCTTGCATGTATGCCTGCCAGCCAGAAGAGGGCACCAAATCTCATTACAGAGATTGTAATTCCGCATGTGGTTGCAGGGAATTGAACTCAGGACCTTTGGAAGAGCAGGCAGTCCTCTTAACCGCTGAGCCATCTCTCCAGCCCACCATTTTAGTTTTAAAACTTCATTATTTTCTTTTTAAATTACGTTTTATATGAGGAGGTGTGGGGTGCAGAGCAACTTGGTACACACATGCCACTTGACTGCCATGGCAAGGCTCAGTGAAGACCAACCAGAAAGTGGGCCTGAAGTTTCAGTTTACCCTGAAGCAACACCTGACTCCAGGAGACACCACAAGCTGGGACCATCCTGGGGGAAAAGTACCAAGCATTCCAAAGGAAATTCCTAAAGTCCCAACCATTATAGATAGGATCACCTGATGCCCCTTAGACTAAGCACACACCCACCATCTTCTTTCTTCAAGCACCCCTAGTCAATGTCAGCCAATCAGGATCTTGAATCCTGAAAATCCCCTCTACTATGACAAAAACCCTACCCCACCTGAGCTGGGAACTCTCTGTGCTCTCAACTGTTGCGTTGGACAGAGACCAAGCTCAAGCTTGAATAAAGCTCTTTGCAGACTTTGTGGTGGTTTCTGGGGGATCCCAAGATCTGGGCATACCAGAAGTTGATAAACATGTCATGGCACAAATGTGAAGGTAAGAAGACAATGTGCTGAGGAGTCCATTTTCTCCTCCCACACTGTGGGACCCAGGCATTTAACTCAAACCATCAAAATAGGTAGTGAGTGGCTGCACTTCCCATAGAGCCATATCACTGGTCCAAAATTCATTATTCATTATTCTCTTTCTCTCTCTCTCTCTCTCTCTCTCTCTCTCTCTCTCTCTCTCTCTCTCTCTCTCTCTCTCTCGACAGGTTTTTTCTGTGTAACAGCCCTGGCTGTCCTAGAACTCCCTCTGGCCTCGAACTCACATAAATTCACCTGCCTCTACCTCCCAATTGTTGGGATTAAAGGCATGAGACACCACCGCCTAGCTCCAAACTTCATTATTTCCAATGGTACAAATAATGCCATATTGTATGAACAAAGAGTTTGTGTAGATATTAATCTTGTATATGCTCAAATAGTACCTTGTGCTTGATAGTTTGTTTTTGTTTCTTGAGCTTACTATGTAGATGTGGAACTCACTATGTAGATCAGGCTAGACTTGAACTCTTGAGATATGCCTGTCTCTGCCTTCTGAGTACTGGAATTAACCACATGTGCCACCGTGTAAATGAACATTTCCTGTCCTAACCACCTGTTCCCCAACCTGGCAGCTGCTTCTAAATTACCACATAGAGGCTTAATGTTACTTATAAATGCTTGACCAATAGCTCAGGCTTATTATTAACTAGTTTTTACATTTTAAGTTAGCTCATATTCCTTATTTACATTCTGCCAAGTGGCAGTACCTTTTCTCAGTATGGCATGCCCAACTTGCTTGTTCCACATCTGGTTTGTGTCTCCTGACTCTGCCCTTTTCCTTCCCATTATCCTTAGTTTGGTCACCCTGCCTATACCTCCTGCCTGGCTACTAGCCAATCATGGTTTTAGTAAATCAATTCAAGTGACGAATCTTTACAATGTACAAAAGGATTATTCCAGCTGGGCATTAGTGGCACACACCTTTAATCCCAGCACTCGGAAGGCAGAGACAGGCCGATCTCTGTGAGGTCGAGGCCAGCCTGGTCTACAAGAGCTAGTTCCAGGACAGCCTCCAAAACCACAGAGAGACCCTGTCTTGAAAAAAACCAAAAAAAAAAAAAAAGGATTATTCCAAAGCACCATCACACCTAGCTACGTTTTTGGATTTTGGAGGCAAAGTCTTATGTTTTATTTGCTCACATAGTGATCCTCCTGCCTCCACCTACCAAGTACTGGAACTAAATGAAAAATTCTGAAAGAAAAGGTAGAATCAACATCAATTTAATAGAATTTTATGGCTGGTTATGGTGCCACAAGCCTTTAATACGAGGCACACGAGAGGCAGACAAATCTCTGAGTTTGAGGTCAACCTTGTCTATACAGTGAGTTCCAGGTCAGTTAGGGCTACATAGTAATACACTGTCTTGAGCGAAGGTAGGAGGAAGAGGGGTAAAGAGAGGAAGGAAGAGAAGGAGAAAAAGGAGGGAGGGGTAGAAAGAGAAAGAGTGAGAATGAATTGTAGGGCTGTAGCCATGATGTGGACAAGGTTCTTCTGCCTTGTCCCCACTGCAGCCATCTAAGGCCTGACTCAGAATTGACCACCCCACCACCCTCCACCTCTCCAATTAAGTTCCCCTTCCCATGGTAAAATCCCTTAGAAAATTACCCAACTCTGCCCCTAGGACTTGAGGTCAGGATGCCCCAGTTAACTATAGCTTTTTTCTTCTATTATACTGCTTACTTGCTCTACATCTGCAGCTGTCACCCAGGGTATGTTTTTTTGCCTTTATAAACTCCCTGAAGAGGCTGGGCGGTGGTGGCACATGCCTTTAATTCAAGCATTTGGGAGGCAGAGGCAGGCAGATCTCTGTGAGTTCAAGACCAGCCTGGTCAACAAGAGCCAGTTCCAGGACAGCCTCCAAAGCCACAGAGAAACGCTGTCTTGAAACCTTCCCCCCCCAAAAAAAAAAAAAAAAAAAAAAAAGCTCCCTGCAGAGGTCAAGCATGGTGGCGCACACCTTTAATCACAGCACAGAGGAGGCAAAGGCAGGCGGATCTCTGTGAATTTTGAGGCCTGTCTGGTCTACAGAATGAGCTCCAGTACAGCCAGGACTACACAGAGAAACCCTGTCTGGCAAACAAAACAAAACAAAAAACCCTGCAGATTATTGACCAGATTTAAAACTAATTCTCCCAGGGCTGGAGAGATGGCTCAACAGTTAAGAGCACCGGCTGCTCTTCCAGCGGTCCTGAGTTCAATTCTCATCACCTACATGGTAGCTCATAGCCATCTCTAGTGGGATCTGATGTCTTCCTCTGGCATAAAGTCACACACACAGATAGAGCACGTATATGCATAAAATACATAAACAAATCTTTAAAAAAGAGGGAAAGAAAACTAGTTCTCCAGTAAGTCAGTTTCAGTAGGCAGAGGCAGGCAGATCTCAGAGTGAATTCCAGGACAGCCAGGGCCATACAGAGAAACAGTCTCAAAAAACAAAAATACCACTACCACAACAAAACCCACTAGTCCTTCTAACAGACATAGAAATGTAATTCAACAGATCTCTGGACATAGTGCCATAAGTCCCTATCTTAGTACTTGGAAGGTAGAAGCAGCAGGAAGATCAGTAGTTCAGCTGGATTATGTAAGACTTAACAACTGGGACCCCAACACAAAAAAATAGAACCAGATAGTGAGGGGCCAGGAAAAAAATGAAATCATTTTAAATAATTTCACTACAGAAAGACCAAAATTTTAAAACTGTTGCCACACAAGAACTAAGACCTAAGAGTTCAGGATGGGTTGTTACAGAGTTCAAGACCACCAGGAAAGGACCACAGACTCAATCCAGATTATAGTTACATGAATTTATTAAAATTACTAGCAGAGTGACAGCCTTAAAGTCAAATCAAAGGCATACCACCCAAAAGAGGTTGAGGGAAGGCTTCTTAAAAGCAAAACCACAATTACTTAATTTTTTCTGCGAATTTGCAGCTCTGTGAGAAATTGCCTCACTCCCTTTGAATACATCAGTAAGTGAATTACAAAAGCCAGAGCAAGCAGCTAATCATTTCACAACAGTTACACCATTTTGGGAAGGGAGCAAGATGCCAGGAACTTATGTTTCAGGAATTTAAGTCAGAGGAAAAAGCCTACTAAAATGACTACCTGGTACAAAATGGAGTTTCCTTAGCTATCACATTCCCTACTGGCTCTAGATCATATGAGTCAAATCAATTCATGTTCAAGTACAGGTTGATACTGGGCCTGTAGGGCTCATATTTAACAATAGACTAGATTCTACTTTTAATGTCAGTAACCAATTAAAATGCACGGGCCAATTGTGATGCCAAGAAGTAAAAGAATGGGCCCAACTGTGGCCATTAAAAGGGTGGTAAGTCATGGGGACCAAGACTGTACCAATTTGAAACCTCAGTTCACTTCTTTGCCTTTGTATCTAAGTTTTTCTGAACTATATCTAATGTTTCCCATAGAACTCCTGAGTTATTGGCATAGAAATATTTTCCACTTAAGATTACACAAAAACATACTCCTTCAAGAGTAACAAACCTAGCCCGAGATGGTTCTGTAAACCATTTCTGCTAGGGAAACTACCTGTTTTTTCAAGCTGTCCAATAGAGCCCGTAGGTGCTGATGTCTTTATTACTTGGTGTTTTAAAACTCTGCTCTTCAATAACTAGGGCTGATGCTCCCTGTGATTTGTGCTTCATAGTTGTGATTGCTATTCTCTTTTTTCTAACGGGAATGCCCTTTATATGCAGGCAAAACTTTTCTACCCTCCTTTCTGGTATACATGTCTACTTGGGTATCACCATGTTCTTAAAGGGAATGGGAAATGCATTCTAGTAAGTTCAGAGCAGATGGTATGTATTACAGTGAGTATTACAAAGTTGTCTATAAAGGGAAGCTGAGTAATTATAAGTGGAAGAGATTAACCAAGTACCTATTCCTTGGAAATCTTCCAGGGTGAGTTTACTTTCTTCCAGTTTACAATTTAAATTTTCTGGTGGGGTAGTAGTTGACATAATAGAGAGATTGACCTCTACCCCATATAAAAGGGAGGCCTGGCACCTAGACAATACCAACAATCTCTTCCCAGGCTGGGGTGTGTATAATTTATCCAATTATGCAGTAACTTCAAGGTCTCGAGCTCAGGGACATCATCCAGGAATAAAACTTTTAAGTCTATTCTGCAGTAGGGTTGAGGCTGTGTCTGTTACAGTAGCCCCTTGATTTTGACTGTGGATCGATTTACTACCTTGGGTGGAGTGGTCTGAGAAGGCAGGACAGAGAAAGGAGACATCCTAACCCCCAGTTGATGCAGCCAGTACCTTATAGGACCTACAAGTTGGGCTAGGTGGGATGATACCCTTCTCTGTATAGTGAATTCTACACCAGGACTGTTTCCATAATTCTTAAATTTAAGCACAAATCCCCAGGTCCGGCCTGCAAGCCAGTATTTGGAACTCAATTCATTCCAGGCCATGATTGTTAAAGTGAAGGGGTTGCAGGTCCTAGGTTTGCAATCCCGAGAAGGATATACCCGTTGAATGGAGATGAATGGGTCTTTATGTCCGCCCTGGTCAGACTCAGTCTCGCAGCCTGGAGTGGAGCAATGATAATCTCTTTTACACTTATGACAATGTGCAGGCCCATCGGCTGGGCAAACATAAAAGGTTGAAGACCAGAAGAATATTTCCTTCATTTTTGTCCCACACCCCGGGTGAACTGGACTATCACTTCCCCATTCGGCCATTAGTTCATTATTATCAAAGAAATCGCACAGGTCAAATCTAAACACAGGTTGGGAAGTAGCATTCTGGAAAATGCCTATTATTTTCCTATCTGCAGTTCGAGATAGTTCCCAGTCCCAGACTTCAACACTTTCAGTTGGCCATATATGGGAGTTACCTACCAAGATTCCCAATATTAGTGTCAATCTGAGTTCAAAGTATAGATGAGCCTCACTTTTAGAGGGCACTGGGGGTTTTGCATTACCCTCCATTTGTCACCTTTCTCCTGGCTGGCTGTGTCCACCTTCAGATGGGAATGGTGGATCCAAACTGCAGTCCCCACTATCTTGATGGCCCCTGGTGTTGTCAGAATCACAGGATACCGCCGGTTCCTTCCAGGTAGGTTCCGGAGTCTTGCTGGGTAAGTGGAGGACCCACACAAAGTCCTCAGGTTGGAACCTGGGTGCTGGTTCAGTCAAGGGTGACACAGGCGGTGGGCATGATAGATGACTCTGGATGTTTCTAGTTGTCTGCTCTGGTGCCTGTAAGGACTTGAGGAAGGAACGATTAGACAGTTCAATAATCTGTGGCCTTGCCTTGACAGGAATAAGTGGAGGTGGTTGACCAAACATTTCAAATGGTATCAGCTTGTTCTGGTAGGGGGAGCACCTGATCCTAAAAAGAACAGTAGGGAGAAATTCTGCCCACAATTTAATTGTTTCTTTAATAGTTTTGCTATTTCTTTCCACCTTAAACTGTGACCCATAGGCACAGTATAATTTCCATGTATTCCTAGAGTTTTAGCTACTTGTTGAGACACTTTGGCCATGAAGACCAAGACTTCAACAGACTCCAAAAAGGAGCGAAGGCCAAATCGGAGAATGATCCCCAATAGTAACTACATTAGCTGGTGGGAAAGGCCATCCTGAAAAAGTGTCTATAAAAGTAACAAATACTGGGCTGGAGAGATGGCTCAGAGGTTAAGAGCACTGGCTGCTCTTCCAGAGGTCCTGAGTTCAATTCCCAGCAACAACATGGTGGCTCATAACCATCCGTTATGAGATCTGGTGCCCTCTTCTGGTGTGCAGATATACATGGAAGCAGAATGTTGTATACATAATAAATAAATAAATAAATAAATTCTTTAAAAAAAATTAAAAAAAAAAACTAGCAAATACCAGAAACCAAACTTCATCAGAGCAACTTTAGTAAAGTCCAATTCCCAATGTTCACCAGGTTAAGTCCCCTTTTGCACACACCCATAGGTGTTGGTTCTCCTTCTCTCAGACTCACCTGGGTGCAGACAGCAAAGTGGCAGGTGATTTGTTCAACCCTTTCCACCCATGTGGTATAGAAAGTACCTGTCACTGATTAACTTTTAATTTGGTCCATCCCAGGTATGTGCTCTGATGCATTTGTGAGACTGGATGCCCCAAGGACTCCTGACAGGATGGAGCATCCACCTATAAGAACCCACCAGTCCTCTGTCTTAGTGGACCCTTGTCTGGTCAATTTTCTTCCCTGACAGTATACAAAGGACATTCTAGCAGGTTTGGCTCAGGCAGTAGGGTGAGAATTGAGGGATGGCCTAATATTTGCAGTGGTCCCACTAGCTGTGGTCACTCCTTTTGGCATCAGCAAATATGTTGCCTCATTCTTCAATGGAGTCCCTTTCTGGTGTACTGGACAATGGATAATAGCAAGCTTTTTTGGCAGCCAAATAGCCACTGGAAGAGCTACAATCTCCTCTTTGGTTTTGACCTCCTTTCCCTCAGGGTTAGCAGGCCTCGTTCCTGGTACAAGGTACCATGGATATGTGCAATGGCAAAGGCATACCACCTATAGATGTTGACAGTGTAGCTATTTCCCCACCTTAGTGCCTGAGTAAAGGATATTAGTTCTGCCTTTTGGGCTGATATCTCTTGAGGAAGATATTGGGACTAGGTTACTTCAATGAGTGTCACTGGAGCTCTACCTACATACCTGGCCCCTGGCTGCTTTCATTGGGGAACAGGGTTGCACCTGCCTTTCTAAGGCTGGTGTCAGAGGTCTAGTCATCCATTTGGGAGATGGTCAATAACCTTGACATGGTCATGGACTAGCTGCTATTCTTCAGGGCTAGATAGAAGGGATGCTAGGCTTAAGCATTGCAGAAGGTGAGAATTTGATCTAAAATGAGAGCATGAGAATGGGTAGACATGTGTGTGACATCTAGTGCTCAGAGGATCCCCGAAGGAGCATTTCAATGGAGTGCTAACAACTAACTCCTTCTTATAGTCCATTTATCAGTTTCCTTTATCAACAATGTGGTGATAGCAATGGCTTAGATACAAGCTGGCCATCCTGCTGCAACTGGGTCTAGGTGTTTATACAAATAGGCCACAGACCTTTTTCATGGCCCCAAAGTCAATACACCTACACCTTTCACCACCCAATTCCATTTATCCACAAACAAGTGGAAAGGTTTAGTAATGTCAGGGGGCATTTCCACCTGGGCTCTAGTATAATGGTTTTATAATTTCTGCACAGTTAGGTATCCATAGTATACAACCAGGAATTCTCGACTGCCTTTTATCCTGTTGCTCATGAATATTCACAATAGCATGGCTCCTGCTGTATGATAGGGTCCTGCTACCTCCCTCCAAGCAATAACCCCCGAGATAAGTTACCTTATTGGAGCAAAATTGGGCCTTTTTTTTTGGTCAGACACTCAGTAGCCCAGTAGTGTTTCAAGTAATTTCTCAGTAATTTGTTGACACTCTTTTAGGGTGCATACAACAACAAGAAGGCCATTCATAAACTGCAAAAAGGTGATACTCAGGTGCCCTTGGTGGTCTTCAAGGAGGTCCGCACTAAGACCCTCACCAAACAGAGTGGGGGGAGTTCTTTGTTTTTGTGTTTTTGAGACAGAGTTTCTTTTTATAACAGCTCTAGCTGTCCTGGGACTAGCTCTGTAGACCAGGCTAGCCTCAAACTCACAGAACTCCACCTGCCTCTGCCCCCGAGTGCTGGTATCAAAGGTGTGTGCCACCACACCAAGCTTTGGAATGGGGTAGTTCTTAAACCCCTGCAGTAGTGGAGTCCAGTTCAATAAACCACTGAACCCTGATTTGGGGTCTGTCCATCCAAAAGCAAATATAGATTGGTTCATAGGCTCCAGAGGCAGAGAGAAAAGGGCATCCTTTAGGTCTAAGACAGTGTATACAGTTTTCCTGGGGCCAATAGGCTGAGTAAAGTATAAGGATTGGGCAATTTAGGGTAAAGTTTTTACTCTTTTATTTACTTCTCTTAAGTCTTGGTAGTCTTTGGTGCCTGGCTTAACAGCAAGGAGCAGTAGAGTATTCCAAGTTGAATTGCAGGGGACCAAATTTCCTGCATCTCTAAAGCAGTTGATATGTTTTCTAATGCCTGCTTTGACTTCTTTTGAGACTGAGTACTTAATCTTTACAGGCGAGGCTGAACTCAAGAGTTGAACAATAATTGGCAGCCACTGTGATTCCAGTGTGGGAGAATTGGTCTCTACCCATACTGCAGAACACTTTAGCACTGATTTTATTAGGAATGGTTCATCAAATCCTAGTTTTCAATACTCATTTCTGTCATTTTTATATTCTTCTGAAAAGGGGAATTTACCAAAATTGCTGAGTACGGACTCTCCAGGTCCAGAGTGGGTGGCTTTATTCTCATTGAATGAGGTGATGGTGGCACCAAGTTTTCTCAACAAATCTCTACAAATCAGGGGAAATGGACAATTTGGCATAACAAGAAAAGAATGAGTCACAGTACCTTGTCCAAAGTTCATTTCTTGGTTGGTGGTCCAGGAGTAGATGACAGTTCCTGTGGTCCATTGGATGGTGATTTTCTCCTCATCGATGGGCCCCAGGGACTGGCTCAGCACTGAATGAACTGTATTCATGCTTATCAAGAACCAGAGAGTTTTGCCCTCTATTTTCCTGTGACTGTGGGGTCCTGAGGGCTCATTGGAATGATGCCCTGGGCCCATCAATCTGATCCAGTTAGATTGAAGATAAATTCTCTTTTTCATGTCGACAAACTTTTAGACACTTGTTTTTCCAGTGTCTTTTTTTCTCTAGGCACACTGGTCCTTCTCTACCCTGTCTCAGAGATGATTTGGTTGCCTGGGGTACTTTTAGCCTCCCTCAGGCCCTTCTCTCTGAAGGTGGCTATCATTATCCTGGCCAGTCTTATGCCTTTCTTCTCATCTGGATCTCCACTGTTAAGTCTTTTGAGTTATCTCTAACAGATGGGACACATTCATTCCTTCAACCCCTCTAACTTCTTCAAATATGTGGGGCTGACTGCATAAGGAAAGCAATGCTAATAACCCCTGGTTTTCTGGGATGTTCAGATCCTAGTAAGCCTCTTAGAGAAGTTCCAGGAACCCAGAGGGAGAGTCCTGACTACCTCAGATGTTTTTGATGGATTAAATGGCTTTCTAGCCACTACTCTCATTCTGGTCAGCAGGGCCTAGTGATAGGTGTCGAGAGCCCTGCTACTTTCATCAGTGTTGGGATTCCAGTTTGGTAAGGCTGAAGGCAATATTCATTCTTTTCTCTGTTGAACCCTGTAGCCCCTGGAGCCATCACAGCTTTCCTGGCCTCAGTCATGATCTAGTCCCTTTCCTCGATAGTAAAAAAGGGTACCAAAAGTCTGCTTATGACCAACCCAGGTACTCTGAGGTAAAGAAAACAATTTCCAACAGGCTGATGAAGGTTTGAGGCTTCTTAGAAAAGGGAGGATTTGGGGTCTTTCAGTTATACAGAACAGTGGTTGGAAGGAAAATAAACTACAAAATGTCTGAGCCTCTGCTCCTTTCCAGTTCATTCCTCTGGAAAGGGGTTGAGGCCCACTAGAGGGTGCCTCTCAAAGAGGGAGAAGAACAATGCTACCCACTTTAAGTGTGCAGAGGTGACAGTCAGTCAAATAGAGGAGAGGGAAAATCAGGATAAACTCTCGGGACTGCAGGCATAGACCCCCTTCAGAAAGACAGGCCCTGGACTCTCTGGATGTATGGACTGTAAGATGGGGAATATCCTCTCTGCAGAATATTGCATATTCTTATGTGCCTAGCAACTTAGGAAGAGCCGGACACTCTGTTTTACGAGACAGAGTTTCTCTGTAGCTTTGGAGCCTGTCCTGGAACTCGCCCCATGACCAGGCTGGCTTCGAATTCACAGAGATCCACCTGCCTCTGCCTCCCAAGTGCTGGGATTAAAGGCTTTGGCCACCAATGCCCGGCTGAAAAAGAATATTTTTTAAGATTATTTTTATTGCATATTCTTATGTGTATGCATTCATGTGGGCACACCTGTGCCATGGCTCATGTGCCAGAGCTCACATGTGGCAATCAAAGGACAATGTGCAGGAATCTGGTTTCTCTTTTCATGATGTGAGTTCTTTGGTCAAACTCAGGCTGCCAGGCTTGATGGCAGGGATCTGTACTTGCTGAGTCATCTCACCAGCCCAAAAGAATCCATTCAGATAGCTTCCAAATCTGTTCCTTTTTTTTTTTCTGTTTTCAAATTTTATTAATACCACCCAATTGTCTACTAATTCAGGCTCAGGAATTTGGGGATAATCTAGGTTTCCATGTATCTGCACGGTTTTATTTATTTATTTGTTTATTTATTTATTTATCTATGGTTTTGAGACAGGGTTTTGTGTAGCTCAGATTGGCATTAAACATTCCAGGTAGCTGAGGCTTACCTTGAAATTCCTAATTCTGTAATTCCAAGGAATGGTATTAGGGTGTGAGCCACCAAATCCACACAGCAAACTATTATCCATCACATTTAGGGATGAAGAGAAAAGAGCTAAAAATAATTTTCCTATTTGTCTTAGCAGTACCCAATACTAAGAAGTAAATACAAGAGAAGCAGGTTAGAGGGGGTAATAATGAGTTCATGGTAAGACTTAGTGAATGTGAGGTGCAAAAATCCAAAGTTACATAGCTGAATATGTGAGTGGGTTTAAAGCCAAGAGGACTATAAATTTCTATCAAATATCTATTGATAGAGAATAAGTCACCCTAGTTTGATAGCTAAAATTAGCAAAAGCTTACTCAGTTTTTGTGAGAAAGCTGGGAACAGCACAGCTGGATGGTTCTGGCTTGGAATCTCTCATGTGTCTGCAAAGAAGGCTCTACTTCCAACCTCATGCTTGTGGTTAGTAGCTGGTTGCCAAAGAAGCCTTACAACACAGCATCTGCTTTCCCGCTCCTTATGGTTGCCTTACACATAGATGGCTTAGAATTCACTGCAATCCTCCTGCCTCAGGCCTCTAAGGACTGGTATAACAAGTATCATGCCAGGCTTCATTCTATCACCTTTTCAATACTGTATTATAAAGAACCAAGTCACTAAATCATCCAGCATTGAAATGAGTGTGAGTGAGTGTGTGTGTGTGTGTGTTGATGCTCCATTGGGAGTAGGAATATCAGTTTCAGCTCTTTCACCTTGCAATACCACAACTAGATTAACTTTACTAAAGCATAATCCACCGCTTTGCCTTTGCTATTAGTATTCTTATGATTTCTTTCAAGTGTAACCATAGTTTGATAACTAGTCACTTTGTCAGTTTTTAAAGACTCATATCTCATCCCTCCATTTACAATTCTCTGGTTTTAGTCACTTACTGTTTCCAACCACCTCCACAATTTATCATCTGAATTCATGCCATTTCCTTGGCCCAAAATTCTGGTGCTTGGGGCTGGAGCAATGGCTAAGCAGTTAAGAGCATTTGTTGCACTTCCAGAAGAACTGGGTTTGATTCCCAGCACCCATATGGTGGTGTACAACCATCTGTAATTCCAATTCTAGGGGGATCTAACACCATTTTCTGCCTTCCACCAGCACTGCACACATGTGGTGCACTGTAAGCAAAACACCCATACACACAAAAATAAATAAATCTTAAAAAAAAAAAAGTCTGGTTCTTAAACTTGAATTCAGGGACGGGAGCATCTTATACTACCAATGAATGCTCTTTGGAGTGGATAACTGGATAACTCAAGCCCAATGTAACAATTCACTGCAATATGCTCAAAGTCTATCTTATTCTAGATTCTAAAATAGATTAGTAGAAGTAGGTTCCAATGACTTTTTTCAATGTCTTCTACAAGTTGCTTAAGACAAGATCCTTATTAGACACTAGGAGAAGAACATTATTCTTTCATAGAAGAAGCACTTTTGGTAAACAATTGACAATAGAGAACATTCTACTCCCATTTCTTGGAATCTCCCAAAAATTCACATACCTAGCTGCGAAAAGCCTGTCACTATCCTTAATATCTACCCAACAGCTCCTAAGTAAACTATGTAGCAGTAATGGTTCAAGGTGGTGTGGGGAACTCACTCACTCTTGTAATCCTAGCATCTGGGACGCAGAAGAGGGGTTCCTCAAGTTTCAGGACAACCTGGGCTAAATATTAGCAAGATCTTGACTAAAAGAAAGCGGAGCATGTTAGTGCACACCTTTGACCTCAGCACCAGGGGAGGCCAAGGCAAGAGGATGTCTGTAAGTTCGAGGCCAGCCTGGTCTACAGAAAAGAGTTCCAGGGTATTTAGAACTCCATAACAGAGACCGGGTCTCAAAAACCAAATCAAAATAAAATTAAAAAGCATGGTACCATGGTACTGATTGAGAACAACCTCGAAGGCACCGGCAACTACTCTTACTTTAAATAGAAAACTTAATTGTACCTATTCTTAAAGAGGGGGAAAAATAAAGTATGCTTCTAACAGTTTTGGAAAGTTCTAGGAGGTGGTGTGCTCTGCAGAAGGGAGAGAAGCAGGAAAGAGACATTCTGGAGTTTTCCCCCACGCGTTATCCCGCCTTTACACTTATTGGTAGTCTAGGGGCTTACCTGAGCCGACGATCCTGGGAAACCAACTTATCTTTTCGTTTCTCACGCAGCTTCACGCGCCTGTCATTGGCGGTTCCTTATTATTTCATTGGAACACCCCCAATTTGGGGAAAGCCACACCTGAAGCCACGACAGGGTGGAGGAGCCACGGCTTCCCGCTCTTCAGAGGACCGACCGCACCGGGTTGAGGACAGGGTTCTAGTCTCTCCTCAGGACGCTCTCCCGCTGTCCTCCGTGGAGGAGAGACAGGGCTTGCGAGGCCTATCGACTTAGAAAGAGCCGGACGCAAGGACAGGTGGCGGCTTAGCGATGACTCTGGCCATTGCCGGTGCCTCACCACCAACTACTCGGCAGGAAAGCTCTGGACTCGAATTCCGCGCCCTCCCGGAAATGACGCACGAGGTCTCCGGCCGGATCCTACCCTCTGCCTTCCGGTTCCGGGCCTCGGGCCCGCGCGTGCGCAGTTATTCCTACCTCCCGTGGTCTACACGAGGCGAAGAATCATGGAGGGGTCATCGTCTGCCTCTCCCGCGACTTCAGCCGACACAGCGACCGCCATGCAAGCGACCCCGGCCGCTCTGGAACATCTGGACCAAGAGCAGGCGAGTGATTTGGAGGACAGCGATTCGCAAGTGGGGTAGTTAGGGCCCGCGAGAGCCGCGGGGTGTGGAGAGAGAGGCCTGGATATTCAGAGCGGGCCCGAGACTGCGTGGGAGCCCCGGAACCCGAAGGAGGTTGCTGAAATGCACCCCTGCGGGTTCGCTTCCCTCAGGTCTATGGCCTGTTTGCCTCCTGTTGGAAGTGGGCTTTTCTGTGCTCCATTCTTCAGGATTCCAAGACATTTGCACGAGCGAAAAATAGGGTGCTCAGGGACGGGCACATGAAGCTCAATAGCTGCTCCCAGCACTATGCGCTTTTCCTGGCTGTTTCCTCGCTCGTGGAGGGCAGGAGAAGCTTCGGTATATATAGCTTGCTCTCGTAAGTACAAAGGACACCTTGTAAACAGATACCGGAAGCAGGTACTTGGGTGTTCTTGATGGAATGAATCTTAAATTGCCCTGGGCCCAAATTCTTTTTTTTTTTTTTTTTGGTTTTTCGAGACAGGGTTTCTCTGTGTGGCTTTGGAGCCTATCCTGGCACTCTCTTTGGAGACCAGGCTGGCCTCGAACTCACAGAAATCCTCCTGCCTCTGCCTCCCGAGTGCTGGGATTAAAGGCGTGCGCCACCAACGCCCGGCTGGGCCCAAATTCTGAGAGACCAATACGCTGATTGAAATTTGCCCCCCCAAAAAGAAAGAGGAGCAAAGGAAACAAATATGTTTGTATATAATATGTATATGGGAGCAATGATTAACCTAAATTTCTGTATCTCTGCAGATTAAAAGGGCGGTAGAAGTTCTGTTTGCACACTCCAAGTCAAGGAAAAAAAATGAGTTGCTTATGAATGGGAATGAGAATTTATTTTTAATGGTGATATTATGGAAAATTCCAGCGAAAGAACTGCGAGTCCGAGTGTAAATTCTAAGTTCTAATTTATCTGTTTGTTTTGATTCTGTGGCTTGTCTGTCTCTCCCCCCCCCCTTTTTTTTATGGTCTCGTTACAAAGGCTTGCCTGACTCCAAACTTACAGGAATAAATCTGCCTCTTAAGTGCTGGGGTTAAAGGTGTTCACCAATGTGCTCAGCCTTTAAATTTTTGAAACTTACTTAGAGTGTGTCTGTCCAAGTATACAAATATGTGCCACATATGTCCAGAGGCCAAAAAGAAGGTGTCAGGTTACCTGGAACTGGAGAGAAAGGTTTTGAGCAGCCCAGTGTGGGTACAGGAAACAGAAATCAAATCACAGCAAATGGTCTTAACTGCTTGAGTACCTTGGATCCTGCTTGAGAGCCCTCTCTCAACCCCCATATTTTGGTGGGGGTTGAGACAGGGTTTCTCTGTGTAGCTTTGGAGCCTCTCCTGGCACTCGCTCTGGAGACTAGGCTGGCCTCGAACTCACAGAGATCCACCTGCCTCTGCCTCCCGAGTGCTGGGATTAAAGGTGTATACCACCAACACTCATCCCCATATTCTTTTTATAAGTTATTTTAGAGTGCTGGGCAGTGGTATGTAGAGTTGGTAGATATAGCAGAATTTAAAAAAAAAACAGTTATGTTGGTGTAAGTGGGTCCTGTGCAAGATTGGAGAACCTCTTATTCTAAGAAAAAATAATTTGTGGTCACTCTCAAAGTCTTACTTGACAAATCTTAGATGTTATGTAATAACATGCTTGCTCTGCTTATCAAAACCAGTATGTGGGGATATAGCTTTTTTTTTTTTTTCAAAAAAATGAGGGCTCAAGGAGCTTTAAAGAGGAAAGACATTTGATTTCCAAATTTTTGTGTGTACAGAAGCCTGTGGGAGTCAGAAAAGATCAGATCCCCTGGAAATGAAATTACAGATGGCTATAAACTGCAATGTGGGTGTTGGGAGCCAAACTTGGGTTCTCTGAAAGAGCAACCAGTGCTCTTAAATGCGGGGCCACCCCTGGAGCCCCTACATTTTAACATGTGTCTGTTTGTAAACTCGTTTTCATGTATGTGAGCACATGAGTGTGGTGCCAGGGGACATCTTTGGCTGTCTTCCTTGGAAGCATCATCCACCCTCTCTTCAGGAAGGTCTTGTTTTGTTGAGCTCATTGAGTAGGTGGACTAGTTGACCACCAGAGTCCTGCAGATCCTCATGTATTCGCCTCCACCTGAGATAACTAGTGCACCAACCTCTTTGACATAGATTCAGGGATGAACACGGATCCTTGTTTGTACAGTGAATGCTTGAAGCTCTCCCTGGGCCAAAGAATCTGGGTCTTTCTTGTGTTAGGTAACTGCTCTACAGTGAGCTACACTCCCAGCCCTCTGTTAAGACAGGGTTTCTCTGTAGCTTTGGAGCCTGTCCTATAACTCACTCTGAATACCAGGCTGGCATCAAACTCACAGAGATCCATCTGTCTCTGCCTCAAGAGGATTAAAGGCATGCCCCACAACTGCCTGGCCCTCTGCATTCTTTATTCCCACATCTTTGCTCAGTTTTTCACCTTGATTTATGTCACTTGTGGGAAGGTGTCGACCCCTCTCCCCCTGGTACTTTTGGCATTTCTTTTTCTGTCTTTAAAGCTGGAATTATAGGCATGCATCACCACACCTTACTTGCTTTCATTCAGACCAGGTCCCAAAAATTGTTGTTCTCTGAACCCACATATGTGCCACACATCCCCAGAGTAAGTGTGTGTGTTTTGGATAAACACATTCTCTGGAATAATGCTCTGCTCATTGTCTTTTGTCATGTTTTACAGGCCTTTGCCTTATAGTATCCTATCAGATTCGTCAGAAGTCTGTTTGTTTACCAAAGATGACTGTGAATCACCTGAACAAACAGAATGTTTCTATAAAAAACTTTTGAAAAAGCATGGAGTTAAAAACATCTCTCGGGTAGGAATCATGTTACTACTTTGAAGTCCTTACAGAGATCTAATTGAAATGAAATATGATACACTGCTTTTGTTTGTTTTGTTTTTTTGTTCATTTTTGTCTTTAGGTCTGTTTTTCTCTTATTTCTTTGTGGATATGTGCCTTTATTCCTAAGTTTATATATATGTACCATGTGAGACCAAAAGAGGGTATCAAATTCCCTGGAGCTAGAGTTACAAGTGGTTTTGAGCTGCCTGGTGGATGCTGAGAATAAAACCCAGGTCCTTCAAAAAAGAGCAACAACTGCTGAGCCATCTCTCCAGCCCGTTTTTCTCGTTTTAATCTAATTACTGTGGCTTTTGTTTGACTGTATGCCATTTTGCTTGTGATGAGGGTGCTATTCTGATTTGTGGCTAAAAAGCTAAATGCATGTCAGATTTCATATTGCAATTGTCTAGAGTGTGGTACATATGGAGGATTGGGGGGGGGGGCATGGGATTCCCTGCAACTAGAATTGCAGGTTGTTTTCATAGGCACTAGAAATTGGATTCGTGTCCTATAAGAGCAGTCAGCTCTGAACCACTGAGCCATCTATCTAGTTCCATTGCAGATTATTTAGAAACTTAATATTCTCGTCAGTCCCTCTGTACTTGTAGAGCATCGTATGTCTGGTTCTGCTTTGTGATTGTTTGTGTATTTTATTATTCTCTGATTGTATTTATTTCTCCGGGTACTAGGAATTGGATCCAGAGCCTTACACATGCTAGGTTAATGCTGTACCCCAAACTCGAAGTGTAGATCAAGCCAGCCTCCTACTCAGATCCTCCTTCATTAGAGGGATTAAATAATCCCAGGTTGGGATTAAAGGTTGTACCAGGTGCTTCCTCCCCACCCCCATCTTCATTACATTTGCTTTTTAAAAATGTGTCTGGGTGTTTTGGCTCTGTGCGCCTGGTATGTACCCATGAAGGCCAGAACAGAGCTTTGGAATCCCTAAAGCTGGAGGGAGGTACACATGGCTATTAGCCACTATGTGGGTACTGAGAATCAAACACAGGTCTTCTATAAGAGCAGCCAGTGCTCTTAACCACTAAGTTATCACTACAGCCACTGATTTACTTCTGTTTTGCTCAATTGCCTGGGCTAGTCTCTGAGTTATTTAGCACTCTCCAACCTGAGGCTCCTAAGAAACAGGTTATATCATCTATTTCAGGGCCTGGCCTACATACTAGGTTTTTGTTCTGGGTCCTTGATCGTTCTTCTCAGTGTCCCCAGCATTTAGCACAGTGCTGGCACATTTTAGATGCTCAGGAATTCATTAAACTAAGAGGAGTGTGACCTGAACAGGAAATGTTCAATATTCGTGTTTCAAGTTCTTAAGGTTTTATGGGTTTGCTTTGTTTCTGTTTTCTAGATTATTCCTTTTAAAACTTTAAAAACAGAATATAAAGCCTATGAAGCCAAGCTTCGCCTCTTGGGTAGCTTTGACATCTTCATTACAGATGAAAGAATTCGAAGGCATTTGCCCACACACATAGGAAGGCATTTCTATCAGAGGAAGAAGTAAGTTTATGTGCAGTATCTGGACTTTGGTGGTGTGGGGTTTCATGTGAGTGGTGTTCTGATATCTGTGTGTTTTCATAGAGTTCCAGTATCTGTGAACCTTCTGGCCAAGAATCTGTCCAAAGAGATTGACCGATGTATCACAGGGACTGTCTTAAATATCTCCAAACATGGTTCTTGCAGGTAACAAGAAAAACATCTATGTGTACCTTTTAAACTTTACATGTCATGGTGATTGAATCCATTTTTTTCTTTAAAGGGCAGTGTTAATGAAACCAGGTCCTTCTATAAAAACCCTAAGAAATGCCAGGTGGTGGTGGTGGTGCACATCTTTTAGTGGATCTCTTGAGGCCAAGGCCACACAGAAAAACCCTGTCTCATAAAAGGACTTCTAGGAATGTTTTTCTTAGCTTTAGTTCCCATTAACAGTTTCTTTGTCATTGTCTGATTTTCCTGGAGAGATGTGAACAAATGTTTATTTTCCCCAGGTAGGACACCAACCATAAACCAAAGAAATGATTCTACGGGTCTGTCTTGAAAAACTTAGAGTTGCGCACAGGTGACATTACTTACAGAAACATGTCTGACTGAAGCAGCTATACCACTGGAGTTCTCTGTCTAGCTATGGGCAACTCCATGCAAACTGTCTGCTGCTTACATAGCTTTGGGAAAGAGTCTCTTCAGTCTTGTACTTGTTCAAACCTGCTGCCATCCCCATTCAGAGGCATGTTTCTGCTGGGAGGAAGAACTTTTCCCTTCAATTCATTTTCACCCAGGGTCCTGAACTACATCTAGTCTAAGGGAAAGACCTTTGGAGTCGACAGTGTGGTTCTGGTTTAAGGCATCTGGCCACCAAGCGTGGCAATTTGTTTTTTGATCCCCAGGACTCACATGGCAAAAAGAGAGAACCAGTATCTGCATGTTATCTTCTGACCTCCACATACTGTGACACTCCACCATTCACGAAAAGCACACAAATAAGATAAAGACTCAAGTATGGTTCCCAGCACCCATGTTAGATATGGCTTACAACCACCTATAATTCTACCTCTAGGGGATTCAATGCCTCTAGGCTAAAAGTTTCTCTCTCTCTCTCTCTCTCTCTCTCTCTCTCTCAATCAATCAATCAAAAATAGGGTCTCACTATATAATTCTGGCGTGCCTGGAACTCAGAGAGATCCTCAGGCCTCTACACTGAATGTTAGGATAAAAGTGGGAGAGTGTTTTCTCCCCTCCGTCCCCAGCTAAAGGGGGGAGGCACCATGCTCAGTTTAAAAAAAAAAAAAAAAAAAGATTGCTTTCCTGCCTGCAAGAGGGAACCCCTTGGTTGGTTTCAGTTAAGTAACTAAGAGTTGTTGGGTCTGGCCTACTGCTTCTTCCATGGTTATAGGCTGATGCCAGAGAGTCACAAAGATGGTTGAAATACCAAGTATAATGCCTCACATGGGCCTGCCACGGGAGATGCTTGAGCCAAAGGGCCTGTGCTTTGAGGGTCACCTGTGTTGCATAGTGAGTTGAGTTTCTTTCATTATTTATGTTCTCTTTGTCTGGCAGTGTGTCTTCTTGTCTTCTCTCTTTCCTTCGTTTTCTTTGCCTACACAAACAGCTCTGTGCACACATACACATACAGAGTAGACAGAGTCAGCCAATGGCTGACTAGAGATAAAGCTGCTATCCAGTTGACACTCCACAGAATGCCACCTCAGTGAACGAACCTCTGGTGAGGGGGTGGACTGGCAGGCAGGCAGGCCCAGTGCTACAGGAGCCCTCCTGGGCTTCCCATTCATTGCCTATTGCCTGTCCATTAGCTGTTATCCATGAGAGGTAGGTACTCTTTACTTGAGAAGGACTCATCTAGAAGGAGAAGAGAACTGTGAGATAGCAGTGACATTTTGGGGTGATTCTGCTCAGAACAGCTTCAGGGATCACCATTTTGGATGGGAGTATGGATGTCAGGGCAGTTTCTGGGGTCAATTCTCTTTTACACTGAGTTAACTGGGATTGAATTCCCATCCTTAGGCTCCTTGGTTTGAGCTCAGAATGTCAGGTTTGTGTGACTAGTTGTTCCTTTACCAGTTGAGCCATCTCATGGTTCAACCTGTGTGTGTGTCTTTGAGCATGGTGGTGTTTTACTTTAGGGAATGTTGTTCTGAATTCAAAAGTTAAGAATCTTATTCATTAAATTCTAGTACTGTGCGTATTGGTCACACTGGAATGGAGACTCAGCACATTGTTGAAAACATCCTGGCTGTCTCAAAAGTGCTTTCAGAAAAATTGCCAGAGGTACAGTATGGCAAGAACATGAGTCTTTAATGTTTAAAAACAGCAGCAGTATATGGGTAGATGGAATTTATTTCTTTATTTCAGAAATGGCCAAGTGTGAAACTCTTGTTCCTGAAAACTGAGAAGTCTGTTTCCCTTCCCATCTTTTCCTCATTTGTCACATGTCAGGATGAAAACACCTTATCCTTCCGTAGCATGAAAAGAAAGGTTAGTCTAAGTTAAAATATTGGGTGGGCATAATAATCAAAAAGTGGGGGGGGGGGGGCTGCTTTTAATCCCAGCACTCTTAAGTTCAAGGCTAGCCTGATCTACTGAGTTAATTCCAGGACAGCCAGGGCTACACAGAACCCTGTCTCAAAAAAACATAATAATAATCATCTAAATGTAGCCAAGGGAGATAGATCCTATCAAGTTCAGAGTGTTGTTCTGAACTTAGCAAGTTGTTCTGGTGGTACAAGTTCAGTAGTGCTATATTATAAGGCCTCGTTTTAAATACATTTAAGACTGAAGCTGAGCCGGGCGTTGGTGGCGCACGCCTTTAATCTCAGCACTTGGGAGGCAGAGGCAGGCGTTTCTTGAGGCCAGCCTGGTCTACAGATCGAATGCCAGGATAGGCTCCAAAGCTACACAGAAGCTGAAATGGTAAGACTATAGCTCAGTGGTAAGGCATGTTCTTAGCATGTGGGTCCAATAGTTAGGGGGAAAGTTAAGGTTTATTTTATGTGTATTAATGTTTTGCCTGTGTGTATGTTTGAGAGTGTTAGATCACCTGGAATTAGAATTACAGACAGTTGTAAGCTGCCATGTTGGTCCTAGGAATTCAATCTAGGTCTATTAGAAAAGCACTAAGTCTCCAAGCACTCAGGAGGCAGAGGCAGGCGGATCTCTGAGTTCGAGACCAGCCTGGTCTACAAGAGCTAGTTCCAGGACAGCCTCCGAAGCCACAGAGAGACCCTGTCTCTGGGGGAAAGAAAAAAACACAAAGCCATCTCTTTTTGTTGGTTAATTGGGACTGGCTTATGGTTCAGAGGTTTGGTACATTGTCTACATGGTGGGGAGCATTGCAGCATGCAGGCAGACATGGTGCTAGATGGGTTCAGAGTTCTACATCCAGATCCACAGGCAGCAGGAAGAGAGACACTAGGCCTTTGAAACCTCAAAGCCCACTCCCAGTGATACACTTCTCCAGCAAGGCCCAATGTTCTAAACCTTTCAAATAGTGCCACTCCCTAATGAATAAGAATTCAAATACAAGAGCCTATAAGGGCCATTCTTACTCAAACCATCACACAATTTCATTCTTTTCTAAGTTGTCTGTCGTGGCATATTCGATCACAACCCCAAATTTGCATTTTTATTAACCTTGGGTCAGGAAATCAAGTTAGGAACTAATTGACAGAAAGTAATTATAGAGTCCAAAGGTGTCTGAAACAAATAGACACACAAGAAAGTAGTAGGGAGGAATTAGTGGAGTGGAAGTATACTTTAAGAGATGCTGCCAACAAAGAGAGAAGGTCAGCTAGTTGCTACTCCACCTCTCTGAACTATCAGGCTTTCACCCCAGCTAGGCCGAGATTTAAACAACCAGGCCACTGCCAGAGAATCAGGATAGTAACTGCAGAGCTGCATTTGCTGGTTAAAACAGGAGCAGACTAAAGTGTAGCCTCTGTGTTGACAGAAAAATAGTTATCCTCACTTTTTGGAATACTGTCATAAGTCATATCCTGGGGGAGGGGTTCAGTTTATCTTTGGTTTTGCTTTGTTTCGAATTTTTTGTTTTATGTATATGAATGTTTCACTTAGTTCTGAATATTCTATACTGTGTGTGTATGTGTCCTTCCATGACCAAGAAAGTCAGAAGTCTCTGGAATTATTCTCTGATGAGTTATTGTGAGCCTCCATGTTGATTCTGGGAATCCAACCAGGTCTTCAAGAACAAATGCTCTTTAACCATTTAGCCATCTCTCCAGCCACTTTTGTTTAGACGAGGTCACACTATGTAGCCTTGGCTGACCTGGAACTTGCTATGTAGACCAAACTGGCCTTGAACTCACAGATGAACTGTCACCAACACCTTGCTAAAAATTTTTATAAGCCCTTTATTTGTTTTGCTTCTTGGCTTTTGGAGGGAGGGGGTATTTAATTATGTAAACCGTGTTTCTGTCTGCATGTATCCTTGCAGGCCAGAAGAGGGCACCAGTTATCATTACTGGGTGGTTGCTGGGAATTGAACTCGACCTCTGAGTAAGACCAGCTAGTTTTCTTAACCACTGAGCCATCTCTCCACCTCATAGTTGTTTTTTTTGGGGGGGGGGGCGGTTCTAGACAGAGTTTCTCTGTATAACAGTCCTAGCTGAACTGGAACTCACTTTGTAGGCCAGGCTGACCTTGAACTCACTGAGATCCATCTGCCTCTGCCTCCCAAATGCTAGGATTAAAAGCCTCCACCACCACTACCTGGTTGCTTGTTTGCTTTTTTTTAGACGGGGTCTCACTATGTAGACCAGATTGACCTTGAACTAACTCACAGAGGTCCATCTGCCTGTGGTGGTACTCGACCAAAGGTGTGCATCACCAAGCCAATGTCCTCATGTAGCGGTCTTTAATTAAAACTTATAGGCACAGTCTAACAATATAAAGTACAAGACTTATGATGCTACAGCTGGTTGTCTCTACCCATAATCAGCTAACCCTGTAATAGTAACAAGTTATCTCACACTTTCTTGGGTCACTCTGTTTCATGCTTTAGCACTCCCACTCTGGTGACTGAGACCTGTGGAATTTTTTTGAGAGCTGGTATTGACATCAGCAACTGGGTAAATGAGCTCTGCAGATGACCTTTCTTCCTCCTTCTGACATACATGTTCTGTATTGTCTGGCCTGCAACTAGAATGTACTGTCTAAAGTTAGGGTGGGTCTTTCTATATCCATTAAAGGTCTTTCTCAGTTGTGGGTCCCTGCTCAGGTGACTCAGAGCGCCATTTGGAACATCCCAATTCTTTATCGCTGTAGTTTTCAGTCTATGAAGAAACAGGCTGGGCCATAGTAGTACTCGCCTTTAATCCCAGCACTCGGGAAGCAGAGGCAGGTGGATCTCTGAGTTCCAGGGCATCCAGGACCACACAGAGAAACTCTGTCTGGAAAAACAGAGAGACATGGGCGGCCAGGTACGCTCTTCCCCCCCACCCCCCCAAGGAGTGATTGGCATTTTACCTTGGAAGTACTCTGAAGCCATGACCACCCTAAAAACTAGAGGTTCAAGGGTTGGTAAAGGTGTTCTCCATTTAACCATGGTGTCTGAGTATGATCTCAATTCTGGGGAGGTGGAGAAAGATGATGGATCCCTGGGGTTCTGGCCTGTCAGCCTAGTGTAGCCTAATTGTCAAGCCCCAGATCCTATAAGAGATCCTGTTTTAAGAAAGTGGGTGGTTGGGCTGGAGAGATGCCTCAGAGGTTAAGAGCACCAACTGCTCTTCCAAGGGTCCTGAGTTCAATTCCCAGCAACCACATGGTGGCTCACAACCATCTGTAAAGAGATCTGGTGCCCTCTTCTGTTGTGCAGATATTCATGGAAGCAGAATGTTGTATACATAATAAATAAATGAAATCTTAAAAAAATAAGAAAGTGGGTGGCTCCTGAAGAGTCTCAGTTGACCTGTGGTGTGCACATGCATACTTACACAAAAGGCGGGGGTGGATCAGTGATAATTCAAACTTAGTGGACATGGGTTCTGCTCCCTTAGTTAGGTGCTAGGGTCTGATTTCTCCTTTAGCCTCCACCCCTCAGTCAAATGCATGCATTTTGGTAGTGGGTATTGAACCATTGAACCCTTGAAGAGCCTTGGGTATGGTAGACATATACTATACAGCTAAACTAAACCCTCAGTTCTTTCCTTTTCTTTGAGATAGAGTCTAAATTTCAGTATGTAAATCAAGTTAGCCTTTGAGTTTGCCATCTTCCTGCCTTAGCTTCCAGATAGCTAAGATTATAAGCATGTACTAACATTCTGATGTTATTGTTTCTGCTTTAAACTACCATCTGGGTGGATGTGGGTGTGCAGCTAAAAGTCAAGGTAGGCAGCCAGTTGTAATAGAACATGTCACTAATTTCATCGTGTGGCAGGTAGGTAGAAGAGATTCAAGTTCAAGGCTCCACCAGCTTGGGCTACACCATTAAAACACCTGCCACCCCAAACAAGTAGAACTGAGCTTTAAGTGCTTGGAAATGGGGCATTGTTTGTTTGTTTTTGTTTTTCGATACAGGGTTTCTCTGGCTTTGGAGGCTGTCCTGGAACTCTATAGACTAGGCTGGCCTCAAACTAAGAGAGATCTGTCTGCCTCTGCCTCCCGAGTGCTGGGATTAAAGGCATGTGCCACTAATGCCCAGCCCTCTCAATCTTTTCTGTGGCTCTTTTCCTGCTAAACTTCTATCTGGTATGTTGGTAGGAACTAAAGAAAAAAATGAAGCATGAAAAAGAAAAGTTGAAAAAGAAAAGCAAAGTGTTAAGGAAAATGTCCAAGAAGGATGACTTAGCAAGTGAAACCAGCAGTACTCCAGGGACGGCCACAAGATCCCAGGAGGAAAAGCCCAGCAAAGTAAAAGCACAACCTGAAAGAACAGACGAGTGTGAAGAAACAATTCCACAACTGGTACCAATAGAAGAAATACCAAATAAAGAAAACATGAAGGTATTTTATTGGTATTAGTAGCTGGTATGTATTGGGCAAAAAGTGCCAATTGGGGCTGGAGAGATGGCTCAGAGGTTAAGAACACTGGCTGCTCTTCCAGAGGTCCTGAGGTTCAATTCCCAGCAACCACATGATGGCTCACAACCATCCGTAATGAGATCTGTTGCCCTTCTCTGATGTTCAGATAGACATGGAAGCAGAATGTTGTATACATAATAAATAAGTAAAATCTAAAGGAAAAAAAAAAGATTTTTTTAGTGCCAAGTGATGAGAGTTCTGGCAATCAGGAAGGCAAACGCTGACTTACTTTATCCTGGAACACCTTAAGTAATGTAAAAGGTCTGTGTTACTTTATGACAGGGTATCTTCTAGAAGGATGTCTCATGTGTTGGGTATTCATTGTAGCGGGTACATCAAGCAGTCAAAGTATTAGGATTATATATTTGTGTCACCATGCCAGGCAACCTTTTTAAAAAATACATAGAAGTAGGGGCATATTCTAAAATACAAACTGGCTGGGCAGCGGTGGAACACACCTTTAATCCCAAAGAATAATAAATAATGTATGTGCCTGTAATCCCGGGCTGAAGCAGAAGCTGAACCAAGTCTGGATTGCATAAGTTCCAGCCAGGTGAGAGCCTGTCTCAAAAAGAAGATGACAGAAAACAAGTATCTCACAGTAGAAAGGGCCATTCCTCATTTCACCTTGCCGAGGTTACACTTACAGGGTTACAATCAAAATTGTGGCTCCTTAAATTTGATTGTGAAATCTTGCTCTTTGTTATTCTAGACTTAATTTCTTTTTTTCCTTGTCCTTTTTCTTTTTAAGATGCAAGAAAATGGCACAGGGAAAAAACCTCCAAAAAAGAGACCTGATCCAGATACCCTTAAGGGCAAGAAAAGGAAGGCCCTGCCAGCTACAGAGATCCCAGGAGCTTTGGGGCCTGTCACCTCGGGGAAGAAACAAAAAAAAGATGTTCGGGAAATCAGAAAGCCAGGAGCCAAGTTCTTTACTCCCAGGAAAGCTTCCAACACACCCAAAGACAAAAAACCCCAAGTGGCCCACTCAAACTAAAATCAGGTTCCTCTGCCTGAAGGAACTATCAAGAATACATAGGCAGGGTGTGGTTGCACACACTGTGGGACATAGATAGGCAGATTTGTATGGGTTTGAGTCCAGCCTGGTTGCCTACCTGGTAGTTTAGGCCAGCCAGACTAGTGAGACAGACAAACTTGGCCAAGATTGGTTGTGCACACCTACATTCCTAACACTCAAGAAGCCAAGGCCACGGAGTCATGAGCTTCAGCAAGAATTTGTCACTAAAGGCCAAACTTCAGTTCTGGTTTGGTGGTGTAACACTTTGCTAGTATAGGCAAGATCCTGGCTTCAGTATCCAGAACTTAAAAAATACCACATACCTGCACATAAAAGGTCCCTACCCTATTGCAGCCTTTTTCAACAATGATTCTTATGCTTAATGTTTTTGTAAAGTTTCCAGGAGTGATTCTGAATGTTTCTATTCATAAAAGTTAGTGGTTTGAGGCAAAAAAAAAAAAGGTATTTTTTATTTTTTGGTGTATTTGCTGATAAGAGTGCTTCTGTATGTTTGTGGTTTTTTAAATTAAAGTATAACATCTGCTTCTGGGCAAATGGCATTGTACTGTGGTTTTTCACATCTCACCTAATTTGAAGACATGTAGCAACAGCTTTGTGTACATGGGAAAATTTAGTCACTTAGTCTGTTAAACTAACTTATGCAATCATTCTAAGTAGCCAGTAAGGGGGTTGATACATAAGAATCAACTACAACAGGGCTAGAGAGATGGTGGCTCAGATGTTGAGAACACTGGCTATTCTCCAGAGGACCCAGGTTCACTTCCCAGCACTCTGAGGATGGCTCACAAGTTTAACTCCATAAGGCCTCAGACACCAACACAGAAATGTGCGTGGTAGATGTGTATACATGCAAGCAAAACCCCCAAACAGAAAACTACAAAATGAACTGAAAGGTTTCTAGTCTGGTTAGTTAGCTAGCACATACTTTAAAGGGTGTTATGGGTTACCTCTGTGTAGTATTGCATTTGTCTAATCTTGGGAGTCTAAGGCAGGGAACCAGCCTTGCTTCATAGGAGATGCTGTCAGAAGAATATAGATGTACTTACAAGGGCACTAAATGAATTCTGTGATTGGAAATTATCTTAAGCCTTCCTGTTTTCACCCATTTAAAGCATGTGTTAACATCATCTGGCAGAATGATACACTTTTAATTTAAAATGAAAAAAGGTTCTGTTGAGCCAGGCACACCTTTAATCCCAGCACTCAGTAGGCAGAGGCAGGAGGGTCTCTTGAGTACAAGGCTACCACAGTTAACAGGTCTTCAGGGACAGCCAGGGCTACATAAAAAAGCTGTTTCAAAAAGCCTTCAAGCATGGATTTATTTGTTTATTTTGGTTCTTTGAGACAGGGTTTCTCTGTGTAGCTTTGAAGCCTATCCTGGCATTCGCTGTGGAGACCAGACTGGCCTCGAACTCAGAGATCCGCCAGCCTCTGCCTCCCAAGTGCTGGGATTAAAGGCGTGCACCACCAACGCCCGCCCGGCGGAATTTTTTTTTTTTAAATAGGGTTAAAACTCGAGGTTTTATGTCTGTCATAAAAGGTTTAAAATATTTCCCATTTGACAAAATTTCTAGTTAATAGTAACAAAACTCTGGTTGAGTAATTAGCATTCACAATACATTGTTTAGAAATGGTCTTTAATTACATATCCTTCCATGATGACACACACCTGTAATCCCAGCACAGTCTGGCAGAGCTGGGAGCTGCCAGATGATTCCTGTGCTCAGCTAGGCCTAGGAAATGCTGGAGTAGGTTGTTATTAATAAGCAAATCACCTATGCTTATTAATAACATCCTTGGCTGGGAGTCATCATACAGGCATTTAATTCCAGGAAGGAGGATTTCTTGAGCACCTGGATAGCTGGTCTACCTAGCAAGTTCCAGAGTTTCAAGACAGCCAGGGCTATCTTTATGAAAAAAAAAAAAAAAAAAATTTAAGAGCCAAGCAAGGTGGCGCCTTTAGCCTTCAGTCCCAGCCTGGAGGTAGAGGCAGGTAGATCTGAGTTTGAGGCTACACGTGAAACCCCGTCTGGAAAAGACAAAATACTAAAATTTCAATATTTACCAAATTCTCAGCAGGTGAAGACAAGCATAAAAGTCATCAGTGTAAAACCTCTTCCAATTTTATCATTACCTTTTACATAGGATAGTCCGTTCAGGGCTCTATGTGTGTACTTCTTGTTAGGACTTTGTTCAGAACAGTTGAAGCATTCATATTAGTTTAATACTGTGTTGCATGGATTCCCCCCTCCCCTCACGAGAGTCCATGTTGCTTCAATTCTGCAATCAAGGGCTTAATGCCTATAAAGGAGGCACAGCCCTGCTGACTCTCCACTGAAGAATACTTCATCTTGAAAGTCATAGCTGCTTTGGAAGAAACAATTTCTTGCCTTTGTTGGCTTATAATTTTACCAGGTAAGAAAAGTCATTTCTTTCATAAAACTATCTGTACTCTGCTAATGTTACCTGAAGGTGCTTTGAAGATACCCTGCTAAACTCACAGCTTTATGCATCTATGCATATTAAGTTACAACCTGAACTTGTGGTGGTGGTGGTGGTGGGTGTTCTTATCCATATCCCTGAGCTATTTTTCTGAAGATAAGATTCTGGATTTCAGGGACTGAAGAGATGGCTCAACAGTAAAGAACACTTTAGAGGACCCAGGTTCTATTCCCAGCATCCACATGGCTGCTCACAACACAACCTTCCATAACTCCAATTCTAGGGGATCTGATGCCCTCTTCTGAACTCTAAAGGCACCAAGCATGCATGTAGTGCACCAAAATACATGCAAACAACAAAACACTCATACACAGAAAAAAAGTAAACCTTTTAAAAAGCCTGGATTGTTTCCTTTTTTGCTTTTGCTTTTTGAAACGGTGTCACCAAGAAGCCCTGGTTATCCTAGAACTGGCTCTGTAGACCAGGCTGTTCTTGAACTCTGAAATCTGCCTACCTCTACCTCCCAAGCTGGGATTAAAGGCATGCACCACCTAGATTGTTTTTCTGTGTGGTTTTCTTTTCCTTCCTTTCTTTTTCTTCTCTTATCCTCCTCTTTTTTTGTGTGGTGTTTAGACTTTATTATTATTATTATTATTATTATTATTATTATTATTATTGATTTTATTTGTTTGAGAAATGTTTCACCCTGTACTGAGTTTAGCCTGAAATTCAAAAACCTCCTGCCTCGGCTTTCAAGTTCTGGGATTACAGGCTCATACTATCACTTCAATCTAGTCTACATTCATCTTTGAATTTCACTTCTTGCATGAAATATAACAAAAACACTTCAGAAGCCAGTGGTGTGATGCACGCCTTTAGTCTCAGCACCCAGGAGGTAGAGGCAGGCAGATCTCTGTGAGTTTGAGACCAGCCTGGTCTCCAAGAGCTAGTTCCAGCACAGCCTCCAAAGCCACAGAGAAACCCTGTCTTGAAAAATAAAAAAAAATAAAACACTTCAGAGAGAAACAGCCTACTTATTTCAGTGCCCTGAGTCTAGTATTCTGTTCTTAGTAGCCTTTCCAGCTGTCTTGAAATGACCTGCTAACACTTATAAAGAATATCTTTTTTTTTTTTTCCATGAGACAGGATCTCACTATGTAACTCTGGCTGTTCTAGAACTCTATATTTAGTACAGGCTGCCCTCACAGAAATTAGCCTGTCTTTGCCACAGGAGTACAAGGATGAAAGGCATGTGCCAATACACCTGGTTACATGGTATCTTTATCATGATTACCACTGAGAATCATGGTGGGGCTGTGGGTGTGGCTCTGGAGTAGAGGGCTTTCCTACCAAGTGTGAAGCCATTAATTATGTTCCTACCCCACCCCTACCAACCCACCATCCTCACTGTAAGATGTATTCAAGTCTGGCCTTCTTGGAAGGAACTCTCTTTGAGACAGGGTCTCTCTACATAGCTTTGGCTATCCTGGTACTCACTATGTAGACCAGGCTAGCATTGAACTCAGACCTGCCTGCCTCTGCCTCTGCCTCCCAAACTCTGCGATTAAAGGTGTACTTTACTATGTCAAGATTTATTTATGTGTATAAGTGTTTTCCCTACATGTATGTGAATCATCTGCGAGCCTGGTGACCTTGGATAGAGGGGAATTAAATCTACTGAAACTGTAGTTACAGAGGATTATTAGCCACAGGGTGGGTGCTGAGAACCGAACCTGGTTCCCAGTGAGAGCAACAAGTGCTCTTAACCACTAAGCCATCTCTTCAGCCCCCTAAAAGACGCTCTTAGTGCCTTGTGTAGATCATTCTTTGATGTTCATCCTCACAGAATAAGCCTTGGCCCTGAGCTCACTATGAACTTGCTGGGAATTCTGGATCTTCCTGCCTCAGCCTCAAGTGCTGGGTTACAAGCATACTCCAACCACACAACTGTTTCTGACCTGTAATCTTTCTCCCCTCAATCACTGCAGGAAAATAAACACAATGTACCAATTTCAAACGGAGAGTACTGGGAGCCTCCTACAAAGGGAGGAGAAGCCTGTTTGCTGTCTATCCCAGTTGGAATATTCCTGGAGGCACATGCTGATCTCCATCATGGGAGTGCTGGTTCTGACTCTCGGAATCATTCTCATTATCTACAACTCCTTCCACCGAGTAGCTTTCTCTGCTGGAATATGCTTGACAGTTGCAAGCCTTATTTTTGTTGCCCTGAGTCATGTGCAAGTTGGGTCTAACAGCAATGAGGGATCGACAGAAGGATCAGAAGCAGAGAGTTCATTATACACCTTCCAGACTTTGGAATTGGCCAGTACCAGACTGTGACTATCCACTGAACTTAGATATCCTAGATCCCCTGAACTTTTAAACTGAACATTATAAAAATACAAATAAAAATTTCCTCTTAATAGCTTGTTTCCTAATAAAGCCCAAAAGCAAGAATACTCACATGTAAGAGCCTTTCGTCTGATTTTGTTCCGGATCTCTGTGACACAATAGACTCCCTCTGAGGAAGCCGTGATTTTTTATCAAGTTCATGTCGGGGGCCCAAATCTTCAACAGCTGACTTCTACTCTTTCACTCTCTCTCTCTCTGCCATCCGTGAAGGCCTAGCTAGCTACTCTTCATGGCTCTTCACATTGACTCCTGCAATTCCCCACATTTTTGTTTGTTTTGTTTTTTCTCTGTAACAGCCCTAGCTGTCTGGGAACTAGCTCTGTAGGCCAGGCTGGGTTTGAACTCACAGAGATCTCCCTGCCTCTGCCTTCTGAGTGCTGGAATTAAAGGTGTGCATCACCACCTCCCGACTAATTCCCACATTCTTTGGATCTCTGAGGGCACTATGTTATCACTCTTGAAAAAAAATAAATGACTGTCTTAATGACTGAAGAATGTAAAATTGGGCTGGCAGTTCATAAGAACTGGACATAGTAGTACATTCCAGTAATCCCAGCATTTGGGAGACTGAAGCAGTAGGCAGAGAAATCCAGGTCATCCTTGGCTTTGTAGCAAGTTTGAGATTAATTTGGGATGCATAAGGTCCTGTCTCAACAGTGGGGGTCTGGAGATGGTTCAGC